TGCACTAAAGACAAGCGAAAAAAGATTGTGTCGGCACTTGTAATATTTTAACGATAATTAGCATGTACATCATCTGTATGGTTAAACACTGTAATGCGCTAAACCTTTTTTCGGAAGACAATCCTTCGATGGAAACTTGGCTAGTGACAGAACAGTTTGTACAACAGACATGACAAGTTCAATTTATATTGATATTACTATTAATTTCTTGTTGTTCAGATACCTTTCTTTACTTGAATGTTAAGGGGGCGTTTACACGACACCATTTTTAAGAATTTTTTTTTTTTTTTCATGCATTTTGGCTGGTCATTTACACAAGAACATCGTTTTGGCGCCCTGAAATGTATGTAAGTTTTTAAAAATGTAAACTTAAAAAATGCAAATCTCTGAAAACGGTGACGTAATCCGCATGTGTATTACTTGATCAGTGTATAGAAATGTGTATGTGTGCAGACATGTAGTTTTTCTTTACAAAGTAACATCACCAACTGCTGGCCTGGCATGCACAATACAGCGTTTTTTGGCGTTTTCACAAGTGCACATTACAATTCACTATACACAAAACTTTTCAAAAACGCAAAAGAAAAACATTTCCGTTTTTAGTACAATCGTTCTTGTGTAAACCTACTCTTAGTCCAACAATACTGGCTATCCACTGTCCAACATAATCAACATGCACTTTCTTTTAAGTCGATGAGGTTTATAAATGTTTATGTAACATTTGGCCTAGGCTAATGCAGGGTTGAGTTAATGTGCTGCAGTTCTTCCAGTCCTCAGTAAGCTAGTCTTCAGCAGGCTGGAGGAAATGCACCAGCACATCTGTAGAGGCAGATGAAGAAAGAAATGAGATAAATCATTTGACTGGGTAGTCTAGTGAAAAAGAAGAGGGAGGGGTAGCGGGGCGGATGACGAAAAGGGAGAGGTGCTCGAGGAGGTTGCTATTGCGAAGTGTAATCTACAGTACTAGTGGGGGATGGGCGTACCAATATCCTCTCTTAACAGTCCTAAACTCATGGAAATACTGTGGGCCACATAAACATATTAGTCAACCTCCACCATTAGTGGCTCCAGCCACAGAAATTCAACATGGTTACAAGTACTTTACACCCACATGTGACGCTAAGATCCACTTATAAAGAAGTACCATAGTACTCTTTGAAGTACCCTGGACTGCTGGTTTGAATATGGAAATCATTCAGTCTATGGTACTGCCATCTGGTACATCTTTTTTGTAGAGTTTACGCTATGTAAAGATAGCAGATTTAAATTATTATCTGTCACATTTCATGAAGACGGTGCACTTTATGACTTTTTAAACAAGCTTTAAAGGCCCAAATCCTATGTTTTTAAGAATTATTATACATGTTAGATAAACTATTATCTGACATAAAATTAACCTAATATGAAAGAACTAGCTTAACACATATCAAATGTCTTTAAAATGATTTTTTCCGTTCCAGCTGTCTCGAACACGTTACCTATGTCCAACAATTAAAATCAATAAAAATGTCATAGTTGTAGCATAATGTGTTGACTTGATATTCAGTTCTTTGTAATAAAATGACTAATTTAATAATAAAATTATTACTAATTTTATGACAAAAAAAAATTAAGTACAAAAAACTAAATATTTTGCATGCTGCTTTAAGTATAATCTATTCCTTGTTACAAGAAATGTTAAACTCTTTAATATTAATGTAAGATCTTTTTTTTTTTACAGTAAATAATCTCCTTTTTTCAATATTTACACAAATTGTAATTGACTACATTCGACAAGCTCAGGCCTGTTGTGCAAATGATTTTAAGCAAAAATGATCAAACAAACATGGTTTCTTAAATTAATGGGAAGTTTAAGTTTAATGTTTATTTTTAGAAGATATGGTTAAGCACCTACTTTCACAGACCAATAGTTGAAAAAGTAATACAAATATTTAAATACTTCATAATAAACAAAATACAGGTGTTTTGAGCTCTTTTGTATCTTTGAAACATATTGTTAGTATAAAAATGATGGTGTTAAACATTTTTTCTGTGACTCTGGAGTATACATCGTTTTTAATCCATAAAATAATATTGCATATGATAGTTTCACTATATATAATTGCTTGTTACTAAGTTGTGTTAAAATTAATATATTGTGGTTGATTTTTCAAGCATGTGTGTGTGTTTGCATTCAATAACTTGAGAGATCTCTGGTCTCTTCAACAGCAGTTTGGTATTTTACTGACACAGTGCAGCCTCTAGAGGGAGCTCTCTGTTACTTTTCAAAAGGACAACCGTTAATTAAGACTAATTGGCACTGTAGGGAGTTTTCTGGTAGTGTAGTGAGTATAATGAGGAATACACCAATAAGTTTTAAGACAGATTTGGACAACATCTCCCTCTGCCTCCACACTGGTTTCAGTTAAATAGGCTACAGAAGAAGAGCTAATTTTGGAGGTTGTTCTATTTTTTAGGGTCATAGTTGAGCTTTGCACAGGAGTGACAGTGTGGATGCTGGAAGCTATGCGCTCCCCTCCAATCATCTTTTTTTTCTTTCTCTTATGGTTTAGGGAAAAGGCATCCTGCTCTTGAGGTTCTTGTTTTCCTTTGTTTAGCTAGTGTGTGTGTGTCAGCCTGGCTTTGTGTAAATTGTAAGTGGTTATTACATGCATGCATTCATATCGTATCAAGTATGCGTTATCAGTGCTGAACACATTTTATTACAGGATTTTGCATGTTGACAGTTCTCTTTAAATGCTTTAGATGCAAAAAAGGGCTCTTAAGTGGGCAACTTCTACTAAAAATAGCTCTAAGAAAGTAGATTATAATTTAGATGCTTTCTTTCATTAGCCTTTGCTTTGATATATGCTGCCAATATAGCAACACTGTGCACCAAACTCAAATGTAATGAAAATACAAGAGTAATTGCCTCAGATGTATCTGATTAGATCTGCGCTCCATTTGTCACTGATGCTGACAAATTAAAGTCTGGCCTGAAAGGTTTTGTCCAAATTCTCCCTCACAATAACATGGACCCTCGCTTCTATTAAAGAAATCCATAGGTGGTCATCCACAATCGAACATTGGTCACCTCTGATACGAGGAGCTGTGATTAAATTACACAGAGAACTGCAGGGAACAGTGTTGATAGAGAAAATTGGAATTTAACAGAGTTCGGCCTACTTTCAGACTGCATTCCATATGGCCGGCTTTCTCTCGTCTTCCAGCAAGACACGTTTCACAGCTTTCAAGGCCACCGCCACAGTATAATATAATGAGATTGTGTAAAAAAAAAAAAGCAAACAAACTGAGAGCGGCCATTTTCTACAGCTGTCAACTTGTTACTGAAAGCCAGACTTGTTCCACTAGCAGCACACACAGGAGTGAGGTGATGGAATGGAGAAGGGGGCTTGACGGCTCTGTGCTCAGACTAGAAAGAGGCAGAGGGGGGAGGGGGCATCGGGTTGAACCTCAGGGGTGAGTTGCTTTGCATTTGTGTCTTTTTTGCTATGCATTTCCTTCCAAGGCTTTCAAGTCTGGGCCCAAGTCTACATCGCAGACACTCACTTTTAATTTAAATTATTGGGAAGAAATTGTTTGCATTCTGTCTGTGTGTGACAGGTTTTGCCAAATTTGTGGTGACAAGTCAACAGTCATGTATGGAGGACAAGGACTGCCAAAAAAACAAGGAATCAATTACTTACTCATTAATTATATTATATTATATTATATTATTATAAAGCTGATAATTGATTCCTTCTATACATACATACACACATATATATATTGTTACGGGGCTGACGAGACGTGAGACTTGCGGATCCATTCGCAGAGCTTTATTAGACACAGACAGAGACGTGGTCATACAGCAGGCATGGGTCAGATGAGGGCAAACAGGTATATTGGATGCCATTTCTGGCCGACTCTGCCCGCACACAAGCCAAACTCTGGTTGGGTTGCTTTAGGCTTTTGCTTCCTCTTATTGATTTTTCTTATATTAGCTAACCTCACCCATTTCTCCATTCTGTCAGCCTTCTTCCAAGATACCTAATGTTTTTGGAGCTCTCGTATAGCGTGAATACAATGACTGCAAATAATGCATCTCTTGGTAATGTAGTTAAAGAGGCAATAAAACGTGTTTTCCGTTTGCTATTCTTGTAACTGCTTTTCCTTTCAGCTGTAAAACTGCAGCACGCTGCTGCTTCATGCTGTTCGTGTGGCAAATCAGAAAACACAGTCAAGGTATCCAGATCCTAGTTTCAGACACAGATATCAGCCAGGCCAATTAATCAGCTGGTATTTGGTCTTTTTGAAATTATCACCATCGGCATGCTTGGTCAATTAACAGAAGTGTATCTTTTCCAAAGTCTTCCGAAAGCCTTGTCAGTAGACAATAAACATATTCTGTTTTTAAAATTTTGTAATAACTTTTGAGTAATTATTCTGTTTATTTAATTTTGTATCTCCTTTGCTGTGATTAAAGGGGTAATTCATCCAAAATTGAAAATTCAGTAATTTACTCATGGTGTTCCAAACCTGTATGACTTTCTTTTTTTCTTCATAAGAAGATTTTATTATATCTTTTATTTTTTTCATATAATGAAAGTAAATGGGATCCAGTTAGTGTTAATTTTTTTGTAAATTCTTCAAAAAAATTTTTTTTTCGGTGTTCGACCGGAAAAAAAGGTAAGAAATACAGGTTTTGAACAACATGAGAATTAAAATTTTTTGGTTGAACTATCTCTTTAAATTGTATGATCTATATATCAGCATTATATTGCTCTACTGTAGGTCATCTTGTTCTTAAATATTGGCATTGGAAAAACATGTATTGCTTGACCACGGTTAAGAGGCTTTGTCTGTTCTTCATAATTAATTTTTCTGTTAATTTATAATGGTTTGAATGGAAATCCATCTTATTAAACGACCCCCCCCCCCAAAAAAAAAAACCCCCCATAGGAATCAGATGTTTTCTGCATCTGCTCATGTCTGTTTCTGTCTTTTTCTTCTCTTCTTAGGCAATCAAGTGGAACTGTCATAAAGAACAGGTATGCCTGTTAAATCCAATGCACAGATCTTCCTACTCCTCACTGATGCATATCATACCCAAAGCACAGATGCAGTCACATTTACTATTGGGTGGATGCTGCACATTGATGTGGTTGAGGAGATTCCCCCCTTACATGTAAAGTGCTTTGGGTACCCCAAAAAGCGCTATATAAATGTAACAAATTAATTAATAATATTTGCTAATGCATGCTATAGTGCCCCTTGTGGCAGGGTTGACTATGCAGCATGCATTTTACATTCACATATTCGCAAATCTATTTTCAAGATACAGTTTTAAAGATATTGTGGCCACAAATGTAGAATTCCTTGTTTTAGTTAAATCATGGACAAAACTATCACTAATTGTGGCCACTGTTTAACTAAATTACAACTTTGCTACAAAACCAATTAGAGGAATAGTCCACCCAAAAAATGAAATTTCTGTCATCATTTACTCACCCTCATGTAAATCCAGCCTCTATGACTTTATTTCTTCTTCATAATAAAAAAGAAGATACCTTGAAAAGTGCAACAGCTTTGGTTTCCATTGACTTACATTGTATGGTCAAAAAATATAATGGAAATCAATGGGATCCAAAACTATTTGATTACCAACATTCTTCAAAATATCTTCTTTTGTGCTCCACAGAACAAAGAAAGTCATACAGCTTTGAAATGACATAAGGGTAAAGGAACAAATTCTTAATTTGTGGCAACAATTTACATTTTTTTCTTCCACATGTCATGTGCAAGGCTTCATATTTTTCTGATCTAATTGATCACTTTTTCATTGTGCTCGTGGGATATGAATACAAGCTTTGCCATACAGAGAAGCCACCTTATCTCACCAATTCAGAAAGTCGATGAGGGAACTGCCATTTTGCGCGCAACTCTTTTCGCCTGTTGGAGAGGCCCATTTTAGAGTATTCTGTTTGAAACATTCAAACTCCAATCGGAAAGCCTTTCAGAAATTGCTCGAAAACAGAAGTCTTGAAAGCTCATTTGACAAGGACTTTCTCTGAAGAACAATTTCTCACATAATCACAGAGACGCCAAACTTTGTTTTTCACTCGCTCGCTGACCTTTAGATATTGCCTGGTCCATTGTGTGAGATTGAGCGCAGATTGAGTATCTGCTGAGTGTAGAGGTGTTTAAATGGAGCCCACAGCACTTCACCATAGGACTTAATATTTCCCCTCTGGTGGACCTGAGCACATGACTTTCGATGCACTGTAATTTACTGCCCCTGCACACTTTGTGATTTTCAACCCACATGTTGAGGATTGATTCCAGCCCGTGCCGAATGACCAGGATGTGGCCCCCAAAATCAAACATAGAAAATGTGTTGTTTTGCTCTGGCCGCCATTTTGTTTGGAGAAATGAGGGTTATTTATTTCAGCCCGACTGCGTTGTTAGTCTTGAGCCACCGGCTCTTCATCATTCCCCCACAAGGAGAAATGGATGAGTTCACCAATCACAATGGTTTTACACTTACATCATCAACATCACCTCAAGCCTCTGTCAATTTGTTATCAGGCTTGTTTCAGGAATGCGGTCATTGTTGCATGATGCAGTTTTCCTTCATTTCTCACTCCGGTTTGCAGACTGGTGCTTTTGATTACAATGAAACAAATGATGACTCATCAGAAACCGGGGACTGTGTCCCAAAACTCACCAGTACTTCCATAGGGCTAATTTTTACAATAGCTTATAACATAGAAGGGAGTTTATTCAGTTTGGTTTGCACAAAGAAGGACAGAAGAAAAGGCAACCGCGGGAGTGTAGGGTTAAGGAGAGTATTGTCAGGACTTTTTAAATATCTCCCAATTATTTCTGCACTTTTGATCTTTCCTTGTGTTAACAATGGGAGAGAAAATACAGAAAAACTTCAATACTGAATAAACTAGAGCAGAATCAAAAGAATATCTGGACTAAATTCAATAACACTTTGATTTATGACATTGCCAAACCTTACATGACTCACTCTGAAATACTTGCTTTTGATTGGTCAGTTGGCATTTTGCGCTGATAAATAATGATTGCTATACTCTGTAACTGCAGTGTTTCCTACATAACTGTGTTTGCAGTGAAGGAGACTTTGCGAAGAAGAATACACTTTTGTATACTTTTAAAAAGAGTAATTATTATCGAAAAAATAATAACACACTTAACATGTGAGCTGAATATCATGTTTTCAGACACTGAAATGTTAATTGCAATGAAATTAAATATATTATAGTTTAAATTTATATTAAATGCAATTAATTTAACTTTAAAATGTTTTTTTGATCCACTTACATCTTTATATATAATTTCATAATTACTTTTATTGTCCTTGAATTCTGGATAAAATGTACTGCCCGAATAAAATATTAAAACATAATGAATTAAAATGTACTTTAAAGTAAAACTTTTGAAATTATTAATGTACAAAGCACACTAAGTACAATTAAGTGGCCATTAGTTTCATTAATATTATATGCAATTACCATTTTCTTTTTAAATAACTTTTAAGATTTCAAGTACACTAGTACTTTTAGTATGTGATTCAATCAAGTGCACTTCTTTTTCACAAGGCAGCTTCCTATCCACCCCTGCAAAAGTTTAACAAATCTCATTAAACGTTGAGTCATATGTTTTCATATATTCAAATTTGAATGTAAATTTACTAATCTGTAAAGCAATATATAACAGTTGCTACTGACTTATTCATGAGTGTTTTCCTGATGTTAAAACTGTTTTACAAATGCAGCAGTTTGCTGAGTGCAGCCTCAGCAATAAAATCACTGTTTGGTACTTTTGTCCTGACCAGTTTCGAGCATGCAAACATACTCTTGAGGACAGAACTGTTGAGTGCGCTCTTCTTTGCCACATGGACCATTAATGCACACCACTGTTCTCATGCTGCAGTGTTTTTAAACAGCAGTTCCTAACACCTGAGCTCTTTACCCTTGAGTGAGATTCTGTACAGTATATTCCAATGCACATGCAGTATGTCTTTAACAGAGCTGGAAATTAGATTTATAATTCCCAATTACATGCCTGCCAAGAATTTTATTTACCTCCTGCATGACAGTACAAAGAGTTCTCTGCATAGATGGAGGAAAATTTAAAGACCCCTTGAAGTTACTTGAAAATAATTTTGTTTAGTGCACCATGACTCATCAATATTTTTTGATCAAAATTTCCCAGAAGAGGTAAAAATGGTAAATTTGTTATGTATATGTGCTAAAATATGAATTTAGTCAATGTTTAAGTGTTCACTAGCAAATAGATGGCTTCAAACACATGGATTAAACACAAATTTCGATTTCATGGGGCCTTTAAATAATAAATATTGTTTTTTGAGCACTGAAATCAAACATACTGGTTAGACATTCCCCCTTTTTTATTGTTTCCAGCCTTGGTGAGGAGTTTTACCGCGAGGCCATCGAGCACTGCCGCAGTTATAATGCTCGACTTTGTGCTGAACGCTCCATGCGCCTACCCTTTCTTGACTCCCAAACAGGCGTAGCACAGAGTAACTGCTACATATGGATGGAGAAGACCCATCGTGGGCCAGGTGTGTTTATGTGTACAGTGTATCACACTACATTGGTGATTTTGTTGTTAGCTCAAGGTTTTGGATGTTTAAACCATGGCTCTGGTATTTTTAACCCAGGTGTGGCTCCAGGGCAGCTCTATACATATCCTGCACGCTGCTGGAGAAAGAAGAGACGGTTAAACATCTTAGAAGATCCACGTCTTGGACCCATCGAGTTTAAAATTGGTGAGAGTTGGTATTGAGAAAGACAAACATAAATCTTTGATTCATTTTAGTTGTTTTTGGGGGGATCCTAATAAAACAAATAATTTATTAAAATAATCAGTTAAAGAAAAACAGAAACTTTTGGTATTAATTTGGTCTGTATTTTTAAACAAATGACCCCAATACAAGTTTGGGATGAGAGAGATTTTTTAAAACATCTTTAAAGGAAGTCTCTTATGCTCACCAAGCCTGTATTTTTTTTATTAAAAATACAGTAAAATGGTAATTTTGCAAAATATTATCAAAATTTAAAATATCTGTTTATATTTTAAAATGTGATGTCAAAGCTACATTTTTACAAGCCATTACACTTAAGTGTCACATGATCCTTATTTAATATCCTAAATTATTCTAATATGCTGATTTAAACTTTTTTTTAAATCAATGTTGTAAACAGCTGTGCTGTGTAATATTTTTGTGGAAACCATTTTGGAACATTATAAATGTATTTACAGCCACTTTTGATCAATTTAATACACCCTTTTTTAAGACACTGGGTTGTGTAACCCTGTTGAAAAAAACAGCATATGCTAGTTATGTTTTGAAGCATGATAGCTGGTTTGAGCTGATTTAAGCTGGTCCTTAGTTGGTCATGGGCTGGTTATGAGCTGAGCAGGAGCAGATGCTTAGGCCCAGCACACGACCAGCTTAAACCAACTCATAACCAGCTGCCATTATTTAAAACATAACTAACCAGCATATGCTGTTTTTTCAACAGGGTAATCTTGTAAATACACAGTTTGAACAGAAATACATAAGATACATAGTTTTTTCAAGAGTGTTTTTTATTGAATTCATTGCTTTGCTACAGCTTCTACACGTGTCTAAATTCTCATCAAATTACAGGTTTTGTGTGAGACCGCTTATGGTTTTACATGCAATCTTTGTTCATTTTCTTTACTTGAAGACTTTAAACAAATGACAGAAACACTGTCTGGCCTAGTCTTTTATGAGTTGACTAGAAATGTCTTGGTGTGACAATTGTTTGAGGTGTGTGTCCAGACTATGAAGCAGCACTAAAGAAGGAAGGTGGTGTTCCTGAGGGTCCCGTTCTGGAGTCACTCCTCAGTGGAGAACTGCTGGATAAAAAGGTTGAAACAAAGGAGGAGGAACCCATGAGTGAATGCCAGGTAAGAAAGATTCCTCAACTGTGGTTTGCTCCCCCTAGAATGGTTTGCTCCCACTCAGTAGTTAACTAGATAAAGAGTGGTTTTACACACTCTGCCCTGAAGTACACACTAAGACACTGTTGTTTTTGGTACCCAAAACTTCCCACCACTCCATTCAGCATTTCTTTCTGCTTTTTATTGCAGTCTTCCTCTCCCTTCCTCTCTCTCCCCTTATGACTTCTCTATAGTACTTGTGTCTCTTTTTGGCAGTAACACAAATCCCTGCAGGGCTGACACGCCCCCACTGGCAGACTTCCTTGTTAACCACAAAGTGTGTATGTTTGTGAGTGTATTTTTGTTATTGTGTGTGTGTCTATGTCAGTACGTTTGACAAAGTTGTTGTATTGATTTTGTGGAGTGCGGTTACTCATTTTCAACGTCTCAGGGTTTACAGGTACTTACATTTGATCATGTTGATGTGTGAATGCTTATAGATCCTAATGAACCCGCCTGTCAGTTGATGGAGCTGTCACTAGTGTCACCACCCTCACAGCGTTTTGCACACAACATGACATCTATCCCAGGGGTGGACAGTTAACCAATTAGCATTTCAATTAAGAGTCACTCTTTAGAGCGCTTCGTCCCCTGGGAGCGGACCTGTGATCCTGCTGCTTGCTTCGCCTCAGGCCCCAGCAGGAGTTAAAAAGCTGTGTGCCTCCCTGCTACCGCTGTTCACTTCCCACAACCACATATTATGAGTGTGCTTACAGTTGTTCACTTGCTAGGCAATCATCACAGTTAAGGCCTCGATATACTTCAAGTGAAATCAAAGAACAAACTGGTGTGACGTCATTAAAAAAAAACAGCTAAGGCCTCAATATACTTCAAGCAAAATCGAAGAACGAACTAGTATGATGTCATTTAAAAGAAAAAAGAAAAACGGCAAGGCCACAATACACTTCAAACGAAATCGAAGAACTAGCTGGTGTGACACTATTTCGAACAAAAACGGCTAACAGCTAAAGCCCTGATGTACTTTAAAGTGCCCCTATTACGCCTTTTCGAATATTACCTTTCATGCAGTGTGTCATGTAGCTGTATGTGAACATAAACTATCTGCAAAGTTGTGAAGCCGACAGTGCACGATAAATAAAGTTAATGTCTATCAAAAAAAGAGTCGGCTCGCAATCGCCTAAATGAGTCGCCAGGAATTCGAATCTTATTCTGTTACGGCTCTACGTCACGAAGTAGCACATTTGCATAATGTCTGCCCACGTTCTACATCGCCATCTTGCCCAAGTAAATTTTCCGTGTGGTTAACATCATGTCGAGAAGACGCTGTATCCTTTGCTGTGAGGGTAAATTTGTTTTATCACATCTTATAATTACCACAAACTTGACACTTACCACTGAGAAACGTCCTGTTCTAGTCGTGCTTGCGAATCAGTTCAACCGTTTCATCATCAGACTTCGGCACGAATTGGTAAGGTACAATCGATACCATCTTTTCTATGTATTGACAAGTCGAAATAGGTTGGTGTGGTTTGTGGAAATCTTCTTCAGTGCAGACACAAGTACAGACATGAACACACTGGAGAACAAAAACAGCTAACACTCCGATATAAGTGAAATCTAAGAATGAACTTGTTTAACATCATTTCGAACAAAGACAGCTAAGGCCCCAATATACTTCAATTGAAATCCAATAACGCAGTTCATACATCGCAAATACTGTTGCAATGCATGAAGCACAACTCACACTAAAGTCACAAACCAAGCAGCTTTCTAATGGTCAACGCAGCAAATTTGTCTTGTTTTTGAAATGGCAGGATTTCACCTACGAAAATTCACCAAACACGTATGACAGCACCTTTAGTATCTCTCATACTTAGGGTTATACCATGTCTACATCGGACATGACATTGTGTTTTTAAAGCAGCTCTAACCCTGTGTCTGCAGGGTAAATCTGCATGAATTGCTTAATACCATTACAAGCTAATGTTTATTGTTAACTAATATAAAGCATATTTTCCATATGGTTTTTCTTAGGGTCTGTTATTCTCCCACTCGTCTTTCCTGTTTGTTTGACATTCTAGTGTTGTTCATACAGTATAGCTGACTCATACGTGCTGGTCTTATCTTGTGGTCACAGAAGCTGCTGGTGGGAGATTTTCCTCACGAGCTGGACATGGATGAGATGGAGGAGGATGTTCCCAAACGCAAGAATCGCACCAAAGGACGGGTAAAACATGCAGCTATAACATGTTCTGCAGTCACTAATTAATTAGTATGAATCATACTAATACTAGAGTGAATCATGCAGTTTTGTAGGCTGATTACTCACAAGACTCAACTGGTTTTGCTTCAAACCTCATTTCAACATTGGCAATCAAGTGCTGATCCAAAAGTATATAGGTCTGGGTCATAAATTTGTGTACCTTTAATGTTCTCGATGCAATTAGATGGATTTTCTAGAGTTTGACGGTGTATTTCTTGTTGATAAGTTGATAAGTGATATTGCTCTCATAACTATGCAGTATTATATGGTCAGAAACATTTTATTATTTACATTCAGTATTGCTTTGTTTCCTGCTGTCAAATCAAACATGTTAAAGTTTTTGGGTTGCAACTGACAATTTGAGAACCTCTGCTCTTGGTAGCGATTAGATCCGCAACCCAAGTTTTGTATTATTATATCACAGGTTTGCAGTGAGCCCTCCAGGTTCTTTGTTTAATCTAGGATTCCTGTTTCTTCAAGGCTGCTGTCTGAACAAGGCTGGCCATTGTAGCTCATCAGCCATTGATCCATTATGGCTGTTTAGCACATCTCCAGGTTTGATCCCTGCGTAGCTTTCATCATTGCGTTCCACTGGCTTTGTGTTGATTCAAAGCAGCTCCTTCCGAACAGCCGTGAAAAACCTCCTTTAATACCACTTTAAAGACAACACCTGATGTGTGATGATAACACACTGAAAACATGCCTAAGTTCATCTGTAATTATAACCCCACATACATGAAAGGCTGGAATCGTAAGTGGTTCTGTACAGAAATGCATTCAAGGCATGACATAACCACAGCCTGAAGAAGGAAGACTTTACAAAATTGCTGTTTTTGTTGAGATACAAGGTTCACAAGTGAAATAAGATGTGGCATGTGGATTTAAATATGGCATGTGATGAATTTTACACAAATGTACATGATAAATCAATACTTGTCCATGCAGAAACTGGAGCAAAATTAAATGAAAATTAAAAATTAAAAGCAAATTAAATGAATTAACTATAGATATATATATGGCAATGTATGGTGCACAACCCTGACAGAAATGCAAACAAGTTTTAGTAGTCAAGTCTAGCAGAAAAAATACATAAAAGGATAGCAAACAGAATGTCTTCGATTCAGTCCCTAGAATCTCTCACCTTCTGTGCTGTTAATTGGGGCACACTACTTCCTCTAAGATCTCTCACGCCCCACATAGTTATCCGGCAGTGTGTGGAAGAGATGCTGTGATAATTGTGTGCTAGGTGTAATTAATGCTGTGTAAGAGGAGTTGCTTAAAGCTTGAAGGAGGAAGTGGGATGGGGGCTCTGCAAGGCTAAAATAACACTGCTTCTAGCTGCACCTGTGTAAAATAGACGGGTTGCCAACTGTAAATGAATCTGTGTGTGTTTACATGCGATTTTTGATGTGTCCAGGCATGTGGTGTTGGGGGGATGAGAAAGAGACAGGAACCAGCATCCCTAGAGGATCGAGACAAGCCATATGTGTGTGACAGTGAGTATCATGCGCAAATAAACAAAAGAACACAGAAAAGATTTCTACAGTCATTATTAAACACAGCATGGGGAAAGGAATAGTAGAACTAGCAACAGAGGACCATATAGCCATATAAACATGCAGTCCTCCTGATAATGGGATGTTTAATGTCAAGTTTCATTGTATCGAGTTATCCTGCACAGTGTGACAACATTCCCTGCTGTTCTCATGGGCAATAATGGTGGAAATGTTTATATACATGAATGCGAATAGATACAATATTTATTTACTAAATATTATTATACAAATATAATACTTTTAATTATAAATTAATTTGATTGAATTAATTTAAAATGTAATTAATTTTAATTGTTACATTGTAAAATTGATTTAATTAAAATAATGACTGAGAGTAAATATTAACAATAACAATATAATTAAAAATACTTCTACTACTACTACTACTAATAATAAGAAGAATATGTATATATTAACTAGTATTATACAAATACAATACTATATATAATATAAAACTATGTATTGAATTCAAATCAAATTAATTTGAATTCTTAAATTATAAAAATAAATTAATCAAAATTACTTAATTATACTAACAATAATGTGAAATTGTGAAAATGTTTCTATTTGAATATATTTTAAATATAATCTATTCCTGTGATGCAAAGAGGAAGTTTCAGCATCATTACTTCAGTCTTCAGTGTCACATGATCCTTCAGAAATCATTCTGATATGATTTACTGCTCAAGAAACAGTTATTATTAGAATCAATGTTGAAAACAGTTGTGTTGCATAATATCATTCTGGTAATGGTAATAAATTTTTCAGGATTCTCTGATGAATAGAAAGATGATTTAAAATAGATTTTTTTTATTAAAAAAATTATTAAATTTTAAAATTAAATGAATTAAAATAGTGATTGATAGTAAATATTAACAATAACAGTATAACTAATAATAATAATAATAATAACAACAACACTCATGTAATATCTATTACTATACAAATATAATATTTACAAATAATTTTAGCTATTGAATTAAAATAAATTATCTGTATTTATTCTATTGTAAAATGTATTTTAATTGTTGATGGTAAATTAAATAATAATAATGATAATAATGATTATTTTTATGACAAGCTTAACCGAACTACAAACTAAACAATTCAACTCTTTTTATTTCCTCGTGTGTTTTTCTTTGTGTTTAGTTTGTGGGAAGCGCTACAAGAACCGTCCAGGTTTGAGTTACCATTACACTCACACACACCTGGCAGACGAGGAGGGTGAGGAAGACTCCGAACGGCACACACTGCCCTTCCAGCGCAAGAACAACCACAAACGTGAGCCCAGCATCAGCATCAGCCATGGATTACACACTCATACCACAACCCACAGAGTACCACTATTCTAACACAACTCACCCACTCTCATACCCCTTTTCCACTGACCCCGTTGCTGGTGCTGGAGCCGCTGTCCAATCTAGCCCTGTTCCACGCATTTCCAATGAATTAAAGGTGCTTCTGGCCTGGACCAAATTGACTCGGCCTCATAATCCTGCTGGTCTTAAACCAGGCACCGTTATCGCCAGGAACCAGGGGCGGCATTCACTTAAAGTTTACAAAACTACTCATGACCGAACTAAATCGTTCATTCTAATCAACAGAGCTGACTGGAAGTGCGCAATGCAGCAGTTGACACCCTGTTTTGTCCTCTTGTTCCTACTTCAGTTGTGCTGCACAACTACTCCAGCCACTTTATTTTCCCCATCTGTCTGAAATAAAAAGATTTTATTTACAAATATGTGTGAATTGATGAATTTTTTTCTTTTTATACTGAACTCCTATAATAGTAACAGTTTTCTTCTTTCTTTGTTCTTGTGGTGAATTAACATCGTTATTAAGTATTTTGTCATCAACAACAACGCCTGGATCCATTTAGCATTATATTCTGTGGGTTTCCATAGACACATAGAAACGAGTATCTGGTTCTGAAGACGTTAACTCAGTAGAATCTGCGACTTGTCATCTTGTAATTATGGTAATTACCAAAAGTAAAAGACTTCTAAACAAAGCTTGTGTTCACACTGCACACTAATCCGATTTGGATTCGGTGATCGTACTGTCATTTCGCAAGTGATGAATTTGGATCCGTTTGTGGAGACACTGTTGTCAATATCCATATCCACATCAGCTAGTTATGATATAATGAGTCGGCTTTATGCCAGGAGACTTTCTTATAGAACAACGAAGAATAGCTGTCAATGTGGAAAAACACGATGGAAAATTTAACTTTTTACTTCTGTTCATGTCTTCATAAGTCACGAGGCATGTTTTACACATTCATGCATATACTGTGTCCAAAACTGCTGACTCGTGTGTAAAAATGTTACATGCACAGAACGGCCAATGACAAAAATAGCAATGATTTGAAATCCAATGGACTGAGATGCCTTTTAAAAACATTGGATTTAATGTGTGTGTTTTTTGCCTCTGTAAAATGGATGCCATCTGGATGAAGCTGTCTGAAAAAAAGACTTGGTTATGTAGTAACAGTTATTTCATCATTTGGCTCTGAAGTAAAACTGTGGTACAATTCTGAGCGACGTCCCTGAGCACCAGCACCATTTTGGTGGAAAAGGGTATTAATCATCTCACACATGCATTACTATAAGGAGCCACACTGCAGTTTTTGTAATCGGTATTTTGTCATTTTCCAGTACAAATGTCCTGACAACCAAATACATTTACCTGATGTGTCATATACAGCATTTCTTAAATTACATGTCTTTTTTTTACCTCATTTTTTACCTCACCGCAATTTTTACGCATAAATCTAGCAGAATTCAGTGATATTTACTCTGCCGTTCAGAGTTTGGGGTCAGTAAGAGTTTATTTTATTTTATTTTTTTGCTCACCAAAGTGAAATTTAATTGATCAAGAATACAGTAAAACGGCATATTTTTTACTATAATTAAAAACAACTTTTCTATTTGAACATATCAAATAGTAATTTTTTCAAATAATAATAATATTTATCACAATATTTTATATACACTACTGTTCAAAAGTTGGGGGTAGGTAAGATTTTCTTTGTTTTTTTCATTTGTGTTCCCAATGCTGCATTTATTTGATCAAAAATAAAAGTAAAAACAGCAATATCGTGAAATATTATTTCAATTTAAAATAACTGTTTTCTATTTGAATATATTTTAAAATATAATTTATTCCTCAATTTTCAGCATCATTACTCCAGTCTTCAGTGTCACATGATCCTTCAGAAATCATTCTAATATGCTGATTTGCTGCTCAAAAAATATTTATTATTATCAATATTGAAAACAGTTGTGTTTCTTAATATTGTTGTGGAAACGGTAATACATTATTTTTTAAGATTCTTTGATGAATAGAACGATTATTTGAAATATAATTTTACTATCACTTTTGATCAGTTTAATGTGTCCTTGCTGAATAAAAGTATTTTAATTCCTTTAAAAAAATTGTATTGACCTCAAAATTCTGAATGATAGTTTATGCTTAAATCATTATATATTCTTTGAAAATAAGTCTTACACAGTTTTGCTGCACAAGTAAAATTGATCTTGTTTCATTAATTTTTAGTTTTTATATTTTTACTGGTACAAAAAGACAAACATACTGATCAGGACTTCTTTTTTTTCACTGCAGTGCACACTGTATCATGCTGAAGTCTTGTATCAGTATCGAGATCTTCCACTCCTTGTTTATGGCTTTGTTGTGTTCAGTCTATATCCTTTTTTTCCTGACAAAGACAAGGTAACAGTGACCTCATTGCAGTGTCCTTGTGAAATCATGCCCATTTGCCTCCCAGAGTTATCTGGCCGAGTGCTTGGCTGAAATGGCCTGCCCATCGCTCTGTTTACCTCTTACGGCCACTGGCTTTTTGATTCCAAAGCTGGTTAACACCGAATATTAGTGGTTAAATTTTGCAGGATTTTCAGACAGAACGCAAACGTGAGCATCAGCAGGATGGTACGTTTTCTCATTTCACACACATACACACACACACACACACATCCCGTATTCCCATACTCCATCACGAGCAATATTATTAATAAGAGAGGTTTTAATGAAACCTAGACCCATGCATTATTCATGCAATATTTAGACGCCACTGGCTTTTTGATTCCAAAGCTGGTTAACACCGAATATTAGTGGTTAAATTTTGCAGGATTTTCAGACAGAACGCAAACGTGAGCATCTGCAGGATGGTACGTTTTCTCATTTCACACACATACACACACACACACACACACATCCCGTATTCCCATACTCCATCACAAGCAATATTATTAATAAGAGAGGTTTTAATGAAACCTAGACCCATGCATTATTCATGCAATATTTAGCCCAAAAGAGAAAGATGTAGATGTAGGCATGATAGCTAGAGCCGTCCAACTCAAGATGGAGAATTGGAGCCAGACCAAATCCGAAATTCCCATCCTCTGCCTTTATTTGGTTTTACGGCTGTTCTACCTCTCTCTGTTCTATCAGTTTGATGAATGACAGATTATTCAGCCAAGAGATGAGATTTCACCTCTCATTCTCGCTCTCTGTCTTTCTCCTTTCTACGCCTTTTCTCTCTTTTTCCCCCATCACCCTTGTCTTTCTGCCTATGCTTTTCGCTCTATCTCCTTTTGATTTAAGATTCATCTATCAGTTCTCTGTATTTTTTCCCCTCTTTATTTATTTCCACTGCAGAAGTGAGGCTGCTTGGCAGAGATGAGCAACTGCATTAAGATTCATGCCTGCTCATATTCTTTTTCATATAGTGTTGTGGTGCTGCTGGTGGGATGGAGGGGGTTTTGGGGGCTGTCCAGCAGGGTCTGGGGGGGAGGGGTGCTGTCTGGTGTCAATGTGAAGGGAAAAGGGTAGAAGGCTAGTTGGCGGGGGGATCGCTGTTTGCATTTGAGGTCGACCCTCTAGATATGCACCTAAAATTGGATTTGGGAGTTCTAGTTAAAATCCTCCCCCACACGCTCCCACACACACACATACACACTTTCTGCATCCACACTCTTAAAAAACGTCAGAATTTTACAAAGATTGAACCCTAATCTTCAGAATTTTAAAGTGAAATCAGCACCATTTTCTGTCCTAACATGACAAAACACTGTGGAAAAAAAGATAACCGCATTGTATTGCAAGATAATAGTATAAATAGTTGTGTTCTTTTTCATTATGATAATTAACATTCCCTTTAGCCGAGAAGTTCTTAACTTTTAATTAATTTTCTCCCATCCAGTGTAATTGTGTTGCAGAATACAATGCGTTGCATTGTTTTACATAGAGACAAGAAGCCAGACATTATGATTAGCTCTTAACTCTCACAGTTTATATTATATTTGGCAATATGGAATGTTAAAGTACTTGTATGAACAGAAAGGGAAATAATGAGTTTTGAGAAATACTGTTGCACATGGTGACAATCAAAATAAACTCTGAACGTTACAAAACAAGTAACCTAAAGTGAATACAATGACAGCAACAGCCGAATCGCCCAACAAATAGTTAAAAATTCAACAACATCAATTATTTATGCCCTAGTGCATGCTGGGAAGCTAAAGCCAGCATAGTACTGTGGACATCTCAGCATATCAGTTGTTCTGTAGATTTAGAAGAGATTACTGTAATAAAAAAAAAATCAGATGATCATTGTGATTCTTCAGCATTCCCGGTTCTGTTCACATGCAAAGTCACAGTATACAACTGTCATTTAATTGGACTAAATACTGTGATAATATGGTAATATAATACTGTGTAAGATGAAAATTAAAGTATTATTATTATATTTATTATATTTGTATTATTATTATATTTCATTATTTTTATTATATTGTATTACATTATTATATATACAAATATTACCCAAGATTATACTGTAAATTGACAAAACACATAGAAATGTTTAGTGTGTGTTTCATCAACTACAGATTTGAACATTTATTTTATATCAGTGTTATGTAATAATATTGCTTTTATTAATATTTTAAAATAGCCTTTTAGCCTTTTATAGCCTTAAAATAGCCTTCTAGTTTCATTTTTAGTCATTTTGTTATTTTCATTTTTTTTCTTTTTCTAATTATTCTAATTATTTTTCATTTTCATCTTAGTTCAGTTTTAGTTCCCTTCCAAAGGGAACTTAGAATTGAGTCCTTTGAGGAACGCCTTCAGCGTGACTGGTGTCTGAAGCATACATCTAAACACGACAATAACATTGGCCGGCGACAGCCTGTGACGTCATCACCCGGTGCGACCACAGTATAAAAGGGTGCCAGGAGAACACTTCATCCTCTTCTTCGTCT